GGGGGGGGGGGTCTGCCAGGTAATAAACCATAATAGCATCTGTTATCTACACAACATAAAACAATGAAAAATTAAGTCTACAGGTGAGAAGAACTGAGTTCAGTTCTTGCTTTTTGTTTTGTTTTGCTGTTGTTGTGCTTTTGTTTTCTAAAGGAGGCACTGTCTTTTGGCAAGACACTTAACTTCTCGAAGCTTCATATTCTCATCAATGAATGGGCCACCAGCACCACTCTTAGGGGACTCTTGTGTGCCAGGCCAGGCAGCAGTTAATGCCTGGAGAATCCTCAGCTCATGGTCCTGAATTGCTGTCTCTCCACTTCCCCTTCAGTTTCCTTTCTTTCTTAGAGGTTTTCTTAATCTTAGTTCTTGAGCTGTTTCTGTCATTCTGTCCCTGTGGGAACACAAAATAAACAAATAAACGTTAACCAGATTCCTCTGGAAGACTTGTTTCAAACTCATTGGAATCAGTGACAAATTGCAGACTCACCCACAGGCCTCCGTTAAGGATCTTGGGTTACAGCAAGCAAACCTGGGGCCAAAGGTGAGAAGGAAATCTCAGAATTATAATCAGGAGGAACGCAGTTCAACTTGGAGAACTAGAACTGGTACTCACTCTGTCCCTTTCCCACGCTGGCTGGTCCCCGCTGCCCAGCTGTTTCTGTCTGTCAGCTGGGGCTCCTGCTTACTAGACTTGCAGTGGGAAACAACTTTGCAAAATCTCACCCTCCCAGAGGCCAAGGCCTGGGTGCAGCTGTGGCTGGTGCGGTCAGTGAATTCATGCTCAAGTGCCACAGAGGCACCTGGAGAGGGGCTGTACCCCAGCCACCCAGCAGCCACCCGGGTGCTGTCCATTTGGGCTTAATTAAGCTGGAATAGATACTCTTGTTAGGCCTGCCCCCTCCACCTATATCTCAGTGCTCTCTATTTTCCTGCCTTTGCTGCCCACTTAGATCTCATCTTCAAATCCCTACCTAGTATTTTTTTTTGGTACCGGGGATTGAACTCATGACCTTGGGCTTTCGAGGCAGGGAGCAGAACCACTGAGCTAAATCCCTAGCCCCCTGCCCAGTACTTTTGCTTTGGAGACATTACACAAAAGAGTTACCCCAAGAGTGCAAAGACAATGGTCCAAGGGGGGGGTCCTCTCTGCAACACTGCCCATAAAAGGGAAAGCAGTAAAGTAACCCAAAAGGCCATTCCCAGAGATGTTTAGCTGAATGGCACATGAGCAAGAGACACCATCTCAGCTGTGTGTGTGACATGTAAATTACTAATATCCAGCCCACCGTCTTCAAGGACTGCAAGATGATGAGTAGGAAAGCACTTTGCAAATTGCAAGCAGTTTTGCAAATGTAAGGGATACAATGAATCAACAGTGGGAAAGATCCTTTTTACAAAAGAAGGCACTTTATATATTTAAACGCTTGGCACTCACAAGTTTAACACTTGAGGCTTTGCCAACCTGCAGGTGACTCCCTTGCAATTTGCAGTTTAGCTGATGCATTGCGTTTGTTTATTTTTTTGGTACTGGGGATTGAACTCGGGGCCTTGCGCTTGTGAGGCAGGCAGCAGCACCACTGAGCTAAATACCCAGCCTGCCCGATGCTTTGCTTTTGTTCCTTCCATAAATACGAGGACGAAAAGGAGTGAACCAGTGAAACCATAAGGTCAAAACATGATTGCTGGAGGGCCGGGGATTTATTAGCTCAGTGGTTTTGCCGCCTACTGCACAAGCACGAGGACCCGAGTTCAATCTCCAGTACCAAAAAAAACCAAACAAAAAAACATGATTGTCTTCCGTAGTCTAACTGCTCATTAAGCAGATGTTTGTTCAGTATCCTTTGTAGCCTTATCAATGAGCCCTGGGATATAGGAAAAGCATAGGATAGAAAGGTGAAAACTAGAAACATTCTATCTCACTGCAAAGACCGTAAGTGTAATCATAAAACAATTAGTGAGCTCAGTAATGTGCATTACTGAGAGGAAGTGAAAACCAGCACAGGGAAAGGGACTCAGGACCGGGTGTGTCTGAGGCTGATGCTGTGCAAGGACCTTCAGGTTACAGCCTCATTCTCTCGTTTCACCAGGAAGATTTCCACCTGAGCGAGGGCAGCTGCCCTTGGGAGGGAGATCGAGGATTGCTACGGTGACCTGTGTATTTGTTTCTCTTGCACTTACCTTGCTGAATACACACAGAACCTGGCTGTTAAAGAGCTCTGCAGTTTCCTGGGTGCAGGCTGCACCCCATTTTCAGCTCTGCCACCCTAGGGCATGGCCCACGTCTTTCCAAGCCCACAGTAGAGCTCTGGCCACCAGCTTCTAATTCGGGGCGCTGGAGGGGAAGGAGGGCTACACCTCTCCCTTCCTTTAGGAAGTGCCCTACACCACACCCTCTGCTTACCTCATCTGCTACACCAGGCCCCCGAGAATGGATTCTTTATTCCGGTGCCCAGCAAGAAGCCAGCGACCGTGTAAGTCAGGAAGGGAAGTGCGGGTCACAGGCCAGCCTCTGTCACCCCAAGCCAGCTCTTAAGAGGGGAGCCATCCTACAGCTCTGGAGAGAGGAAAAGGCAAGTCATTTTATTTTTAGTTGCACCAAGTAAAGGTTTCATTTGCATCATCATTGCATGGTCATCCTGGACTCTGTTCGTCACAGAGGCTGTGGAGACCCAGCCCTGCCACCAGACGGGGTCTGACAGCCCTTTCAGTGAGCCCACGGTGGGCCTGGTGCCCAGTGAGCCCATGTGGGGTGTAAACAGTCTCATGGGACCCAGGCTTAGGCAGGGTCACTCTGGAGCCTTGGAAAAGTTCTGCAGAGCAAGGCTGCCTAATAATCAGTCCAGAACTTAGACAAAAACAAGTTTCCTGTCTGTATTCGCCACAGAACTGCAGGCAGCTTCTCACTGAGCGTATGTGAGCGGCCCTGGCTTCTTGGCCTTCGAGGCTGCGCCTTAACGCTATCTGCTCTCCTGGCCAATCAGCTGTTTTGCTTTGTGATTTTGAGACAGGGTCTCACTGTGTAGTTCAAGCTGTCCTCGAACTCATTATGTAGTCCAGGCTGTCTTCAAACTCGAGGATCCTCCTGCCTCAGCCACCACACCTGGCTTACTGATAAGCTTTTTTAAGGTACTCCATCCTAGGATTGCCTCTCTTTCTGACTACACTACGGAGAGCAAACTCCACTTCCTGGGAGCCTCCCCCAAATCACCCACCTAAAGCCCAAATCTGTTTTTTTTGTTGTTGTTACCAGGGATGGAACTCTGGTCCTTGCACTTGCGTAGCAGGCGGCGAAACCACTGAGCTAAATCCCCGGCCCCTAAAGCCCAAATCTGTGCAGGCTTTAACCCCCTCTTCGGGGTAGGCAGTGTGGCTTCCCATCATGGTACATGCTCTTCCTCATGGCCATGGTAATGCCCCCAGCTGCTCAGCTGTGTCAGGGACACCAACTGTCCACAGTGGGAGGAGCAGGGCCGTCTGTAAATGCAGAAAATCTGGGTTCATTTGGAGTCTCCCTCGTGGCCACTGGGCCAGCTTCTTAGCCTCGCAGAGCGGTGACGCCCCGATCTGTCTGTGGAAGGTGGCAGTACCAACTTCACAGGTGGGTGAAGACTAAGTGAAAAACACACGGGAAAGTGCTTTTTCCAAATTCCAGCACTCTACCCATTGTAGGCACTTCATTCTGATTGTGACAGAGAGGTACGGCAGATTATTTTCCCAGGATTTGATTTGGGCAGAGTCAGTGAGTGGCTCCTTTTATGGCGCAGTGGCCTTCGTCGATCCGTGTTGCCTTCTCAGTCCCCGCCTGCTTGTCCAGACTTGTGACGGCAGTGGACTGGGCCTGACCCACAGGCGCGTCTAGCTGGCCCGGGTCCCCACTGGAGGGTGCCAGGTGCAGTATCAGCAGAGGCCCTGGAAGGAAGGTTGCACTGCACACCAGCCATATTTTCACTGAATGGAGATAATAAAAGCAGGGCCAAGATGATTCATTTTGTGTCATCTCAGTAATTAGGAGAGATATCGGGGCGTGGAGGCACACCCCTGTGGTACTAGTTACTTGGGAGGCTGAGGCAGGAGGGTCATCACAAATTTGAGGCCAGCCTGAATGACATAGTGAGACCCTGTCTCAGTCAGTCAGTCAACCTATCTGTCTATCAGATCCATCCATCAGAGAGCCCTTTTCCTATTACCCTCCACAAAAGCTTCCCTGGGCTTCAGAGATCTAAAGGGAAACTGGAACTAGGATGAACTTTAGCATCAGCTATTCCCAAGGTCTCCAGCTTTGGGGAGGGACAGAACGGGACTCCCTGAGGCAATAGAGTAATGGCCCAGCTCTGTCCTTTGCCCCTGCCCCCTGCATACTGAAGATTGAACACAGGGACTACTGAGCTACATCCCCGGATCTTATGAGACAGAATACTGTGCTGGCCTCGAGTTTATAATCCTCCTGCCTCAGCCTGCCAAGAACCTGGAATTACAGGCTTGTGCACACATGCTGGCTGTGCCTTCTGCTCTCTGTGTGACCCTGGGCAAGTCCCTGGCCTTTACCTTCCTCGCACAGAAATTGAAAACAGGGAGCTTGTTTGCTGCTGTTGTTTTATTGACTTTGGAGCACAAGCTTGGTGCGGGATCATCCGTGCTTCTGCCTTCCTTTCCCTGTCTCTGAGCTGGTGGAGGGTCGGAGGGGAGCACAAGGCCACACCCCAGGTCCTGAGGCTCAGTCACATAGCTGGGGTTCATGGGACCAAAACTAAAAGCTTGGCTTACAGCATGGAGCTCACGTACCAAATTATGTGGCTCCTAAAAATGTCAGGCAGGGCATCACATCTCTTAGTGTGGGAACCACTAACACGGCAGGCAGCTCAGAGTGAGTCTAAGCAGGGAGAGTTCTCCCCGAGTACGGATGCCCCAGCTCTTGAGTTAAGTCCACAGGTACCTGGGGAGAATGTGAGTCTCTCTCCGGCAGAACTGGAGACGCTCTGGCCAGTCCTTAGCGTCTGCCACTGTTCCTACATTTTAAGTTACTTACTTTCAATGATGCCTTTTACATATTTATGGAATTCCTATGGCAGTGATGGCAAACCTATGGCCCGCATGCCGCAGGGGGCTGTATCATTGAAACCTCAGACGTCCTAAGGCACTTTACACTTCATTTCTCCATTGTAGACATAATAAGACCAATCCACCCCCCAGGAGTGCTAAGCACAGTGCTAGATGGATTCGGACAGAAAGAGACAGATGTCCCTGCTCACGGGCATGCGGGGTTCCATCAGGGAGTATGTCTGATTCCCATCCCAACATGCTGACTGCAGCACTAGACGTGGGTCACAGGCACGCCACGTTTCCCTCCATGGCTCGGTGACCTAGATCGTGACACCCTTTACCTGGATGAGGAGAGGGGGACCAAGCAGCCTTCGGTGACTGCCTCGAGGGTCTGGCCTTGGCCTCCCTGACTCGAAGCCCCCCTCCGTCACACCCCACCCCTCCTTCTTGTATAGCAGTGCCCGTATCAAGATGCCAGATACTTCCTGTGATTATACAGAAATTACAGTTTGGGTTGCCTGTTTCCTTAAGACTCTTAGAAAAGTGCCTTAGTTGCTTGGAAATGTCCCTAAGTCTTACCGATCTGATTGCATGCCCGTTTCAGGTGGCTTCACGGTGTACTGTTGCTGACTTTCCCCTCATCTGATCCTCATTGTGCTGGGTCTTCGCAGGTCCAGTTCCAGCAGAGGCTTTTCTCCTGCCGGGCAGGGGTCAGCCCACCTTTACTGTGATGTTCTGCTTGTATGGTATTTTCAAAGTTGGTTTGAGGATGGGGGAGAGTAAGCTACTGCAAGGATACATCAGTTGTTACGAGGGAATGGCCTAGGAGAAATTGATCAACAGTACCTCTGATTATCTCCTGATGCTATCGGAATACCTCCTGTGCAAGGCACCAGTAGGTTTCCCTAAGATTCTCCTCCTAGCCCCTCACTAACAAGTGCTTGGAGCCTGGGAACCAAGGAGCTGAAGCAAACCTTCCAGGCTCCTGTTCTGTCCCTTGTCTGTTCTGTCTGGCAGATCTTAGAGGAATTGGAATTCAGCCGATAACACAGCTGCCCCAAGTGCGAAGGAAAGTGGTTGTTAGGAACTTGATTCCTCCCAGATCCAAGAGATCTTCTCAATTATACCTCACAGTCTTCAGCACTAGCCTCACCTCCCTCCTAAGAGCCTCTTCCTCACCCCACGTGAAGTGTTGATACTATCCTGGGAGGGAGGCTGCCAGCAGGGTGCCACCTGCTCCTGGTGAGGGCACATTTCCATTTCCGGGGAATGAAGACACTTCTGAGGAAAGAGATAAGTAACTGATGACCACAAGTGGCTGTATTATGAGTGGAGTTGATCTGTTTAAAAGTGCTTAGATGTAGTTGCTCAATCTGTAGTTGTTCTTTCTGGGGCTATGGATACATTAATGTAAATTGGTAACTAAGGAAGCATTTTTAATCCTGAGGATTCACAGGCAGGCACTGGTAAATTTAAAAGAAAAAGGAAAGTATAAGACACGCCCCTCCTCCAGGAGTTTATCTCATTTCATAACTCTTTTATGGATATTATTTGGTTATCCTCCCAAGCTGGTCTATGAGCTCTTCAGTAAATACGTCAGAATCCTTCACAGTCATCCCTGAAACCAGAGGGGTGGTTTGAGAATTGCTTTCAAATGGGAACCTGGAAAACTCACATGGCTGGAAGGCGGACCCAGCTTCCAGACCAGTGTACCAGCTCATTGTCTTCAGCCGGCCTTCAGCTTCCTCTTACATCATGTGGCCCACTTCCAGGTTTCAGAGGGTGATAGCTTCCGGGGGCAGGGCTACTTCCTCTTGTGACAAAGGGAGGTGTCAGGGAAGTCAGGGTGGGGCTGGGGTCTGAGGACATCGGTGGGAAATGTGAAGAGGTTCAGAGCCCACGGTGGCATCCCTGCTGGCAAAAGCCGTGGTCTAAGTGTGTCCCGGGCAGGCAAAGCCACCAGAACAGGAACACCCCTTCACCCACGGCCTTGGTCCAGGGACTAGTCTTGCAGGAGGTACCAATGGGGAAGAACTGCTCTATATTTTCTTGAAGAAGAAACTCAAGAAGCCCTAAAGCCCAGGCATTTAACACTTAGCACTTTACCAGATGGTAAATTAGAAAGTAGCTAACCGGACTAAGGAAAACTTGCTCAAGTGCCCTTCAGCTTACAAAGTATATCTTACAAAGATCTTGCATTACATTAAAGATTTAGGGATTCTAGTCAGGATATTTAAAACCTCTTGCCCAGTGGAAGGGAGATGGTATCATATAGCTCACACCAAATTTCTGCGTCTTGCAGCTAAGCATTGAGATTATTTTTTTCTTTAAAGCAACATTTAAAAGCAATAAGAAAAAATTTTATCAATTAAAATGGAATAAATGAAGATCGGGCTGGTGTTAGTGAAATGAAATTAACTGCAGGGTTCTTTAAGTGGGGCCCTCAGGTTAGGATTCCCTGTCCTTGAAGATGAATGATTTGTGTGAACTTGGGTGTCAGCTTACCAGGCAGCCAGGGGTAATATTTCACAGTTCAGTGTGAATTATATCCCTGTTTTCTCTCCCAGTAGTCACCACTTCATTCAGTGTTTTTTTTTGGCACCGGGGATCAAACTCAGGACCTTGTGCTTGTGAGGCAGGTGGCAGAACCACTGAGCTAAATCCCAGGCTCATTCAATGTTTTTATATGGTGAAGAAATTGAATCTTCTGTCAACAAAACCCATTTTTCTGATGAAACTGTAAATATAGATTTAAATAACTAATCTGTGAACTTTTGTGTCTTAAAAAAAAAAAATCACATTTCTAGGCCTAACATAGTACCAAGCACAGGTTTTGTGGGGTGGGTTAAATGATTGACTCTGAATTACTAAATAAAAAACATGGGATGTGGTTTAGGAAAAAGACCACAAGAGCACAGTTGTTAGTAATTTTACGGATGGCATTCTTTTAATACTGCCAATTCCTGTTTGGTTTTGAATCCTGAGGAATTTTGGAATATATGACCCAATAATTTTGATCTTACATTACATGAGGTGGGGAAAGAAAAGGTGAAACTTTTAGCTTTTCACTCAAAGTATAAAACCTTCATGGGCCGGGGATTTAGCTCAGTGGCACCATGCCTGCCTTGCAAGCGCAAGGTCCTGAGTTTGATCCCAGGTACCAAGAAAAAAAAAATTCAGTAGCTGTTGAAATTACTAGTCTACTTCTGTACTTTCCCAAACGGGCCTCAGGCCAGTACCATGTGTCTGTGATACTGACCTCGGGCCGAGCTCAGTGATCTTCACACCTGTGATAATTTGGCCTATGGACTAGGCATCTTTCTGAGTTCTCAGCTGCTCTAGCTATGTAGGGGGTAGCTCTTACCTATCACAGTCCTCTGAGGTAATATTTCCATACAGTAATTCTTATCAAAAAGAAAAAGCTTTATGACTATCCCAATGGTAGCAGATTCCCTGTGGCAACAAGAATGGCTAGCAAGAGAAGAACTTCCTGCTGTGGCCTCTGAACAGGTGTTGGCATCCTCTTTGAACCCATCCATTAGACTTCATCCTCCTCACTACGGTTGCTCTTTATTGCCCCAAACTTGTCCCCACCCAGCTTTAAGCAATCTGGTTCGAAAGAACTTTGTCCACCTCTACCTTTTACGTGGTAACTATTCAATGTCATCATGTGGCTAAGAGAGCAGGGACAGGCTGGGCAGGTGCGAGCCTGCTGAGGGACCTGACTAGAGATAACCAGCCCACGCATGGTAGGCCAAGCATTTGGGCGGGGCTTACTTCCCAGCATCCTCCTTTCCACAGCCTGTCTGGCAGCAGGCACCTTGACTCATTCTTGTTTTCAGTTCAGCTTCCAGAATGTCTTAATTTCACACCCTGTGGAGGTGGAAAACAGCGTCACAGGTCAGGAGCGCAGCTGTTTGGCAACCTCACCCTCTTGGACCCAGCAGGCTGTGAGGAAAGCGGTTAGCACATTATTGAGAAGCCCAGGTAGATGCTCTGTAGCCCTTGCCTGTCTGAAAAACTCAGTCTCTCAGGGTAATGAATTCTCCTAGAGTGCCAAATAACTGGATTTTAAATTTAAATTTTATCAAAGGCAGTTGTCAAAGTTTGAGGAGTAGGATATTTACATAGTCTCAAAGTATCTCCCCACAAATCAGTTGGCAGCTGCAACAGGAAAAATAGAAATTATGCAGTGGAGGAATTGGCCAAGACTTAACCAAGTGATAAAAATGAATATCACCAACAAACATCATGTACCTCTCTGGACACAGTACTCCGAGAAGGGCACAAAATTACTTGCCTAGAATTCTAGCCAAAAATGCACAAGTTGAATCTGATTATGAAGAAATATCAGACAAATCCAAACTGAGGGAAATTCTATAAAATAACTGGCCTGAATTCTTTAAAATGTCAGCATCATAAAAGACAAAGGAAAGCCAAGGAACGGTTAGAAATTAAAAGACTGAAAAAATCTGACAACTGAGTGAAATATATACAATGATCCTGCACCAGGAAAAAAATTATCCTAAAGGAGATTATTAGGATAATTGAGATTGGAATATTGACTTGCATAACAGGCATTTCACCGATATTAAATATCCTGACGTTTACCCTATGGTGCTTATGAGAAAATTTCCTTAGGAAATATACACTCAAGTGTTAAGGGACAAAAGGTCATGATGAGAACAACCTATTTTCAGCTGTTTTATTGGGGAGAAAGCCCCAAGAAGAAATATATGTAGGCAGAAAGCAAGTGTGATGGAATGTTACAAACTAGTAGTAAAGAGTATAGGTACCAACTCCCCACATGGAATGTAATTATGTCCTGCAAACATGTACTAAGAAGAAAATAAAAACTGAAAAATTCTTAGCCGGGCATGATATCACACATCTATAATCTGAGCATTCTGGGAGGAGGGTGAAGCAGGAGGATCCCAAGTTTGAGCCCAATCTGGGCAATTTAGTGAGATTCTGTCTCAACATAAAAATTTTAGAAAGGCAGGATTTTCATTTCTTTGGATATGTTAAGGTCTTTATTGTTGCTATGAACATGGTCTATTTTGTAAACAAATATCGAGAATAGGAAAAATCTATGAAGATAGATAGCTCAGTGGTTGCCTAGGTATGTGGGGGGATTAGCACATGATAGCTGTGGGTAGAGTGTTTTGGTTTGGGATAACAAAAATGATCTCAATTTGATTATGGTCCTGGTTGTACAAATCTGTCAATACGCTAAAAAGTCTGCTGACTCATACATTTTAAGTTCGTAAATTGTATAGCACACAGATTTTAGTTCAATAAAACTTATTTTTTTAAAAAAAGGCTGGGTAGATAGTTCAGTACAAAGGGCTTGGAAAAAACAAAACAAAAACTTTGTATATTTTTGTTACTCTTTTTGAACTACTGGGGATCATCAAACCCAGCTGAGCTCCACCCCCAGCCCTTTATTTTTGTTTTTTGGTTTTGTTTTGGTACGGGGTATCGGGGGATCGAACTCAGGTCCTTGTGCTTGTGCAGCAGGCGGCGAAACCACTGAGTTAAATCCCCAGTCCCCCAGCCCTTTAAAAAAACTTTTTTTGTTGTTTTTTTTCCTTGAGGCAGGGTCTCACTAAATTGCTCAGGCTGGCCTTGACCTTGTATTTAGCGGTTGGGGTCGTAGTTTTTTCCATGTTATTTGTCCTATCAGTGAACCGGTCAGGGCAATTGGTGGTTGTGAAAGATTACCATTTACTTTAGGGCAGAAATAAGAAAAAGAAAAGCATAAAGAAGTGCTCAGGGGAAAAGGGGTGCTTGGAAGGGAAAGAGAAGCTATGTCGCGCATGCAGAACGGACCCCTGCCAGAGGCAGGGCCTCAGGCCAACCTGCAGTGCTTTGGCTTCTTTGATAGCTCGTTCAGCTTGAGCTCGTGCAGAAGGTTGCGATCGGGATCGGGTGCCAGGTTCAGCGAGTTCTTTTATCAGAAGATTGGTACGGGCTGCAGGACGGGCTTCCGCCCGTGTCAGGCTCGGGTGCCGCGCCTCGGGTAATGAGTCAGTCTCCTCACTTGCTCGGCCGTGCCCAGCTGTTCCAGCCCTGTTGCCAGGCCCTCACCTCCCACTGCCTCCTGAGCAGTCGGGGCTATAAATGCGTGCACCACCCCTGGCCATTTTTCTAATTTTTCTCTAATTCTTCTCTGATTCTGAAATTATTTCAATACAGAAGATTAAAAACCTTTATACCTTCATACCTTCATGATCGTGCACTCCAGCAAAACCCAGCTGTCCCCTTTGCCCTGGGACGGGGCAGTAGTCAAACCGAAAGAACTTGAAAGAGGTCTCCGTTCCTCCGCTTCTCACCGCTCCTAAGTCAGGTGAGCCCTAGCCATGAGCTGTCCTGCCTCAGCCTGCTGTCCGGGTCACAGGAGCCTTGTTCCGCCCCGCCCCATGGAGCCAAGGACTCCTCCAGCCACAGCGATGGCCTTGCAGACTGAGGTCAGTAAGAAAACATCTGTTTGCGGATGTAACGTTGCCCCCAGTGTGATGAGCGAACAGAAAAGAATGTACCCCTTGACAGGCGGCCCGGGAACCCTGGGTTTGGTTTTCAGTATCCTCCCAGTGCCCCGCACACAGAAAACAGGAAACATCAGTTAAAATGGGAAATTGCTGTGGGCTGAATGACTGTAATTCCTCCTCCTCCTTAGAAGTTGGCACGGGCCCTTCATCCACAGCGTGACGTCTCTTGCTTTTCTGTGCGTCGATAATTTTGCCTTTTCTTGAGGGTGGTGCCTTACCGCACCGATAGGCTTTTCGGCTGGAATTGCTACCTTGAAGTAAGCTCAGAAACTGTATTCTTAAAGGGCTGTTTGTGTTTTTCCTTCTCTCTGGGGTAAAAGCAGCCTAGCTCCGCTGCTAGCTCTGGTTTCCTCCTCCTGCCCCCTCTAGTTTCCGAGTAGGCGAGTTTGAGCACACGGAGAGACGCACAGCCCAGCCTAATGATAGCCCAGCAGCAGGTGACATGGCCATTATCAAGCCAGACGCTAAACAGGTCCCTCCCTTGAGCAGAGGACCCTGAGCTCTGGGGTCCTCCCCACCTCCACCCTTCCTTTGGGACCCTCTCAAGCGTGAGGGGCTGTTTTCTTCTAGCCTTTCCTCGCTGTAAGAAGGAGCTCATTAGGCCTGCTGTCTGCCTCCTCTGCAGAGTTGTAGGTCTCTCAAGGAATTGGATGTGTGAGTAGTGAGACGCCAGAGGCAGCACGCAGGCGAAGAGGTCCTCTGGCTTCTGGTACCGGGCAGTGGGGATCTGCCGCAGGCTCTTGGGCCGCCCCTTTGAAAGGAAGACGGTTTTCCCTGTGACCCGGCTACACCCCCGATGGAGAGTCCATCTTGGCTGCCGGTTTCCTGTCTCCGGTGCCAAGTACTTAGCCTGGCCCTTCCTTCCCAGCCTCTATTTTTCCTGTTTAACCTGGGTTACGTGTTTCCCACACAGATCCCCTTTTGTAGCCCACTTGGTCTCTTTGGGGGACTCCTGCATGGAGAAGTTGATGCCAGTACAAGCGACAGTGTTAGGTTTCTCAGCTGTGCCCTCCTTATTTTCCTCTTAGGAATGTCTCTGTTCCTCCTTTCTCCCTTATTTCTGTCCTAAAGTCTGGGAGATCAGAGATGACTTGACCCTTAGTGACTTTTTGTAGTCACTATTTCATTGGGGGACACTGACAACACTAGTTATGTGTGTGAGTCTTCATCAGAATAAGGCGGCGCAGAGATGAGGCGTTCCTCACCCTCGGGTGACTTGCAGTGGAGAAAGGGAGTGAAGAGGGGATAAGTAATCATCATGGCACAGAAGGAGCACAAGCCAGGTCGCCTGTCATTTCTTGGAACTTGTAGGGTTTGAAGATTTGAACATAGGGTCATTCAGACCAGGCAGCGGGAGCATCCTGGGCCAGGATGCAGAGATGGAATGGAATTCGCCATCCAGAGTCCCGGGCGGGCTGTCGAAGGAGCAGGGGGCCCTGGGAAGCCAGGGAGGGGTTTGGCTACACTGGCTGGGGGTGAGGAGAAGCCTTGTGTTTCTGGAGCAGCCAGAGCCACTGTGGGGGAGGCGTGGAAGGACAGGCATGGGGAACCCAGGAAGCCTTTACCTCCCTGATTCCTGTGAGGGACACGAAGTGGATTGGCATTGCCAGGGCATTCTGTGGTGTAGGCAAGACGGGACCAAGCACAAGTGCCTCTGACTATTCAAAGCTGTCAGCTTCCAAGTTTAGCCAGCAAGTGTGTGAGTAGATGTTTGGGTAACAAGGAATACTGTTTTGTCCAGATCTCTTTGGTATCCATGTTTGGGTCAGGGAGTCAGGAGACCCTGGTTAGAAGACTATGAGAAACTTTATACAGACCAGACTGTACAGTTTGGAGCTCAGGCAGTGAGGGATACCTGGATCTGGAGTAGCTAACCCAAGAAAATGTAAGATGCTTCAAAGGGCCATGGTCATTACATAGAATCCACACCAGCCATCTCTGTTGTAGTTTGTCTGGTTGTTTTCCACAAGCGGGGGTGACAGAAGATATTCACATACTTAGCAACATGAGCAATTGGCCAATCAAAATGAATGCCAGTCAGAGGCTTTGTCCCCTGGGACCTGAGCATCGGTCCCGGAGATGTCAGAAACGTAGGTCTTGTCTGGTAAGTCAGATGGGAAACTGCTGGAGTTTCATGCCTTTTGGTCTGAATTCACTGATACAGTCCAGAACAGCCCCGAGTATATGTTTGGGGCTTAATACTTTAGGTTT